TTTTCACCATCTTTTGTAACAGAAAAGCAGGTATAATTTCTACACTGAAATTTCAGAATTGTTCAAAAGTTTTGTTATAAAGACTTAAAAGCCTTAACATTTTGATTTGATTTGAGCCTACACTTAATACACAATACACTCACATTTCTAACATCTTCCCATCACACATACACAACAACTTTCATCTAAATTATGAGTAACGCATTGTACCCACAGGCCATTGAAGACTCCTGTGTTTTTCTGTGTTTTCTGAAAAAAAAAAAGTCTCAGTGGAGATGGCAGCCCTGCGTCAAGAGACAAACAGAGCAAAACTCTAGCAGTGTTCATTACCTGTCATTGATCAGTGATTCAGATGCAGCATTGCCTCCACCCCAGCTCCATACCAGTTCCATGTTTGTGAAATTAATATCCAGGTAGAACCGTAAAGCCAGCACAGCATTTTACTTCATAAGACTTTGATTTTAACATCAGTTTTCTGATGAGTAAAAAACTGTTTTGGCTATGCAGCACACGTTACTCTGAGTCATTATAAGATTTTAAACTGCAAAGGAGTCTCTAGTTTTGTTAATGCAGGTTTACAAAATATAGGGTCAGATCAATTTTAATTGATTTAAAGGTGTGTGTAACTTTTGTGGTGGACAGTCTGTCAACTGCTTTTCTCTAGGGAGATTGTTATGGAATGTCCCACAATATGGCATTATATAATAGTCAAATACAGTTTTTTTTATTGTTCATAAGTACATTGCAAAACACGCATTCTCACTTTGAGCTGTGTCGCTTCTCCCCAGATCTGACCTGGTTGTCTCCATTAAGATAATTTAATGCCACACTATGGAAAAGTCTAGGGCAAAGCAATAACATCTCCATGCAGTTAAGCAGTTGTCAGACCCTCCAACTGAAAAGTCACATAAACAAACCCTGAGCCATGAACACTGAACATTGATAATCTAACATGAATTAACATAATATATAAGAATAAGGCTAAAAAAGTGTTTTTTTTTGTTTAGCTTTTTTTTTTTTGGCATATCCCACACTGTAATAAAAAGCAACAGTAATTCAAACTGAACTTGAAGATGCCAGACATATTCAGTGTCTGAGAGAGTGACCTTACCTGACCTAACCTGTGCATTTCACATTCTAACAATGGAAGACACCTTTAGGGGGTATAAAACACGCCATTTCAACTCTCACTTTTCTCTCCTTGCCCCCCATTGAAACCTGATGTCAATTTATCTCAAAGCTTTTATTCATTGACCGTGCGCACTTACAAGAAATGATGGCAAAAGGTCTCATTTGCTCTTACTAAATGGATAATGATAAGATATATTCTGACCATGACAGTGTGGAGCTTAAGTGAATATATAGGAGCGAATTAAATCAATATTTCACAACACAGCTGCAGGAGGCTGGGGAAGGGGCTTTTATGTGGCACTAATTGCACCTATAGGGCCAATCTTTAAAAATGTAATCTGTTATCTCATTGTGATTCATCGGATGTCCTGGGTTAGATGACCGCGCTCGTCCATTTTATTCTACATTCCACTACATTTTCTTTATTCCCTTCATGCCGCCCTTTGAATATTTATTCTCTTCTCATTTGTAACTCAGACTAGTTGAGGCCGTAGCCTTCTACTCTCAAAGACATACATTCAAATTAGTAACACATGCATAACAAACAACCACTTAAAATGGGATCACTTTCAATCCCTTGTGTAAATAAATGCATGAATAAAAAGTATAAGTTTTGCTATGCATTCTTGTATACTCTCTATTGCATAACTGGCAAGTTTATAGACTTAATACAAAGTGAAAAGCCACAAGAGGGGGATTGTGTGTGCTTCCCATACACCCACTCGCGTGGCATTACAGCTATAATAAAACAATATAACTCAGACTGGATAAATATAAGTCTTGAATGAACACATGTATCGATAAGCAGAGGTTTAAGTGCCCCTGACTCTAAGGCTAGTTAATGGAATGCACAGCCTGCTTTATTAAATAAGATATGCTGCACTGAGCATAAATGTATTAATCAATCGCAAAACAGGCACACAAATATTAGAATAATTGATCTGGCATGATTCAGCAGGAGAGGTCCCAACGGATATTGTCGAGCACTAACTGCTCTACTGAAGGTCACGGAGTACTACTGAAGACACAAATGTCCTCTCTTTGACTTTATTTTGCCTAGCTGCAGAACATTACTTAAAGCTCATTCTATTATCTCTTTCCCTCTCAGTATGATGCAACTTCAAGGCAGTGACAAATCAAAAAGCAATAGAACACTCACAGACTTAGGGGCACAAACCTTATGCTAATGGAGAGTAAAAGTCCTGCACATAAAGAATCACTCTGCTTGAGGTTCCCAATGTGAAGCTTTTAAAAAGATGGGATTCCCTTGTAATAATTATAAATGTGATGGTCCTGCATAGAGAAGAAATATCAACAAGCCCACAGATAAATTAATCAAATTGTGTCTCATTTTCTGACAAAAGACATGCCAACTCCACTGAGCTGTTATCACTCCAGCACTGCAGTGACAAAGGAATTTCAATATCTGTCAAATGAAAATTGATGGAGTGCCTCTAAATGTCAGCACTGCATATGAAAACAAATACAAAATGTCTGTGTTTGAGCAGAGACACATTCAACCTTCCCCAAAAAATCCACTGCCTTCTGCCCTCACAGCCTCCTTTGATGCTTATATTACTTCAAACTTCTAAAAATAGCCCCAAGCCTTTATACTGCGCTGGCACTAGTCTGGTAATACTGCAACATGGGCAGCAGCATCTCGGGAGCAAAACACTGTGGAAATGGTTGAGAGACGATTGGGGTATATTTAGGAGTGCAATTGGTCTCCCTGGGGTCCAATAGTGTCACTGCTCTGGTTTCATCAGCAGAGCCTGAAAACCTACACAACAACTATTACTGCATCTGTGTGACCCAGGTCAGAGGGCTAAAAAAGTCATCACAAATATATCACAGTGTGTTCCTCCAGGTTAACACTGTGAGTGGATTGGACGGACAGTGACACCCATTTTGCAGGGGAAGACTTTTAGATTATTTGAGGAAGAAGAGCAAGTGACAAGGTGAGAAAAGCCAATACACTGTATACTACAACAAAATAAATTACCAAACCTAAAGGTCCTATATGATGCAAAATTGACTCTTGTGAGCTTTACATGTTATAATGTTGTTACCTCCTCAAAAACATACCTGGATAACTATTTTGTTTCATTCACACATGTTTAGGTAATCCTTTTCTATAAGTCTGTATACAGCTCCACAGCTCAAAATGCTCTGTTCCACCATGTAATGCCATGTAGTGGTAGTTTTTAAGTTTCCCAGAATTGTCAATCTCTACTTTAGTTCGGTAGAGATTAGCAATTACAGGGCTTATATCATCCAAATGATTAGTTTGAGTTTTTTGACTGTTTTTTTTTTTTTTTTTTTTGTTTTGCTGGGAAATAACAATAACAAATTTTAAAGTGTGATATCTTTCTAAAGTAAATATAGACGATAAACAATATTACCATACTACCATAGCAGAATTATAACCCAAAAAGTATTCTTAATGTACAGTATTGTTAAAAATACTTAAATAAAACAATAACTGCACTGAATAAATAGCAGAATGTAACACTTGCATATTTAGTTTGTATCCGTAATGAGTCACAAAAGATCTACAACTCAAATCTCAAAATGCAAAGACAAAGTACCCGTACAATTGATATTGACCCCCAAAACGTATTCTTCCATCTGTTATGTATTATAGTATTTATCGTGACAGGACTACCCTTAATTGAATACGATAGATAAGACCATCCACCAGCCCCAAATAATGTACAAAAGTGTGTCACAAGGTTAAACACCAAACTCCTAAAGATTATTTTTGTACAAACATTGTAACAATCTGCCAACTTGTGTAGATAATTTAGTACTACAACCTGCAACAGTATAGTTTACAATAGTACTGTCCAAGTGCAGTTTTCTTTTACTGGAAAAGGCCTTGGTCGTGAAGACTGCCTTCCTCCCTAAACACTTGAAGTCCACCATCTTTTTACTATTGTTTCTTCTGCTGCATAGTGAAAAAGTTATACACACACACTGACTACAGCAGTTTATCTCCTTCCCACTCAAGCTGCCAGACTATATAGAGGGGGTTGTGATGGTAGCTGCGAGTCAGCATAAAATAAAACTACCTTTGGGACCAGCAGTTAGGCACTACAGTGTAAGTGTCAATATTAGTTAACCAAAGCCAATAAGGAACCTGTGCGACAATTATGCAAATGAATCTGCAATCTAAATCTGTGTTGTTTAGTGAGAAGCAATGTAATGGATGCACTTATTCAAATGAAACACAATTGGATAGGGTTATTTATTTTGTTATATTCACAGTTTAAGTTAAATTGGCATTGTGGTACATTAAGGAAAGGTGAAAATCACAGGGTGTCTGTAATGATTGGTTTGATGCAATAGGTGACATATGGCTCATAATTTGGTCAGATTTGGCAGATAATTGTTTTGTAGGTGAAGAGAGGAACAGAGCCAGCAGAGGAGGAGCAGTTAAGACTTGTACTGTATTCAGTAACTTAAAATGTTACATGGCTACAATTTCATATAATTTCAATTAAATGTTTTATATATATATAGTTTTTTTCCACCCCTGCTATATGTAAAATATAGTGTAGAGTTTGCAGCTTTTCGTAGTTCTTTAGTATTCTAGTGTACTATGGCATATATGCAGTAATAGATTTGTCACATCAGCCAGTGACCGTGTGATTCCTGAAATCAAAATGTCAAGACTTCTCATTTTCCTGACTGTCTACAGAATTAATGTGGCTGGGCCTCATTACAGCCAAGCTTACCCACAGCCTCCAGAGAGAGCAACATCGCCAGAGCATAGCAGCATGCAATTGAAATAACAGGTTAAAAAGTCTGACATGTGGCCTGCCTGTATACACAGTTTTTGACAGCAGAATGGTTTAAATTGTACTCACCTTTCTCCGAGCTGGGTTTAGCTTTTCAGTAGGGTCATTGCTGGAGAAAAGGGAGAAACAAATTATTCTCAGAAAACATACAAGTAATGTAGAACAATTATATTTTATTTTGTTCTCCTGCAGTTGTGAGTTCAAGTCATGTCTACATTGACTTTCAAGTCTCTCAAGTCTATTGTCTCAAAGGGAAGCATTAACAGTCTTTGCAGTTGCTATCTGCTCTTCCCTCCTTCCTCACCCCTCCCGTTCTCCTCTGCTTCGTCTCCGTGCCAGAACCTTGCCATGGCTAACAGGAAGCAGAGGGCACAGTGCTTTATTTAATTAGTCACAGCAGCTGAGTGCTCATGTGGAACCAAACTGTTGAGGCAGATTGGGCTAGCAAGATGGATAGACACTCTCCCACCGGGTCTTGGCTATGCTGTCAGAGGAGCCCAGATTACATGACAGGGAGGGGGCACAGGGGGCGGACGGTAGAGGATGTAAATGGCATCTGTACAGGAGGACTCATCCCAAATAGCCCTGTCTCTCCACAAAAGCACTTGCTAACTTGTGTCTAAACTGCCAACCAGTGTGCCAGTCTGCTGTTGTGATGCACAGTACACCAAGGCTTGACTGCTATTATTAGCCCTGACAACACTCATTATTCCAAATGATTTAGGGAAGTGCTATTTATTTCTATGGCTTCTGACAATGATCAGGTGGCCTTTCCCTCACGGGCTAACAGATAACCTCCAAGTACTCCATGTGCCACGCATCCTTGATGAGTGATAAAAGGGAGAGATGAGGCTGCAGCTGTCAATGTTTTTAACTTTTTATCAACTGCAAAAATATGGATATTTCTGCAAAATAGAACTGGATTTCTGGATAATAAGTAAGTCATTTTTTTCAAGTATTATTATCATTTTATGACCACTTAACTATGGTCATAATGAGTCTATTTACCCCCTAGCCAGCATGAAACAGATAATCATTATGACAGGCCAGCAAAACCCATCCAAGCTTTTTTCAGTTTTAGGAACGGTAGCTTAGGGGTCTTATATTACGCAAAAGTGACTCTTGTGAGCTTTAAGTTATAATGCTGTTACCTTCTCAAAAACAAACCTAAAGTTGTGTTTTGTTTCATTCACACATGTTTGACTAACCCATTATTATTAGTCTGTCTACATCTCCAAAACTCAAAACGCTCTTTTACATCTTGTGATGTCATGTTTACAACATAGTTCATAGTGCTCAACTCAGCTACATTTTAACTTTTGTTTAATAGAGATTTACAATTCGAGGGATAAAATCATCCAACTGCTTCTAGTGTATGGAATTTAAAAAGAACTTCCTGTATTACAACATGACATCACAAGGTGGAACAAAGGTGTTTAATATGTGTGAATGAAAAAATACACAACCCCAGATATGTTTGTGATGAGGAAACAAGATTAACATAGATTTAAAAAAAACACTGCATAGTATGGACCCGTTAACAGTTGACATATTGGGGTACCATTTGTTGCCTTTGGGCACCACAAGTATTCCTTAAAACCATTTGATAGATACCAACCACAGCAGACTCACAAAACACATTTGGACATACCCTGACCTAAACATTTCAGCTTGTTCAATCCTTATTTATTTTCTGGGCCTCAAATACATAATTTGCTTACTAATAGGCCACCTTAAAACTATCAGTGTTCTTTACAATGGTCATAATGTGTTGATGTATACTGACTGAAATAAGGTGCAGACATAAATTATAACAAATTAATTTATCATCAACTTGCCAAATGGTGCTGAGGCAAACCAGTGCAAGAGTGCATCACTTGAATAATGTGTGCATTACTATGGAGCAGTGGTGTGTTTAGGGAGCACTCTTAATTAGCACTCTTGAAGTTATCCAGTGACCCACATCGAATAACGACGGCAACATGAATGTTCTATTTACATATCTTGAGTCAGTAATGTGTGACCGTTGGGAGGGCCCAGTGGTTGAGGAAGTGCCAGTGCGAGGAGAAAGCGCCTGGGGCTGTTTTTCAAGAGCCTCTCAAATCAAACTGTAGCTGTGCCGAATGGCTTATAGTGACCTGCAAGTAGTCACAAGCAAAGGAAGATGTGGATTCTTATGAATATTTAATGTTTAGTGTTACAATGACTGGGCCAATGTATGTTTTGCACTTTTTTAATTCTAGAGTTGTCACATCTTAACACACTGAAGTTTGTTTTTTTCTTTTTTAAGGCAAAACTTTCTAATTTATCCAGGCTTAGGGCCATTACATACATGCTACCTCTCAAGATCAGCATTCAAGATTATTTCATCTGTTCCCAAGGAAATTTGTAGTAGACAGACAGGCTGCCATACATAAAAAATACACACAAGATGGACATAAAACCTGATACGGACACACTACTGTAAAATATGTCCTTCATACCATCATTTTACCCTTTGGCCTGGATTCTAGAGATTCATAGGGAGGTTTTCATATTTTTACATTCATCATTACACCTAGTGTAATGTGTAGAGTATTTAATTACATTTAATAGTTGACATGAACTACAATCAAATATTCAAACAGCTAGGAGACAGGAAGTCCAGGAAGATTTCACTCAAGCTGTAAGACACACACAAAAAAGGGAAGATCAGCACTGCCAGACTGCAGTGCTGACATACTAATAGCATTGCAGGTGATGGAGATAAAATGCTATACTTTAAAAGCAAGTTATGGATTAAATGAATACAATAGTGCCTGGATATAGACAAAGATACATAGATCATTTCAATCCTGACAGTTGATGGAGATTGAGTGCTTTAGTGATCAAGATGCACTATGTGTAAACAAATGCATTAGTCAAAACAAACCAGGTTAGAGCTGAAGACATTTGAAATTGTCTTATAAAAAATCATGTAGAAGAATTGACAAGTTAATCTTCTGAGAGGTCTGATCTGAGATTGAGCTAATGTAAAATTGAATGTATATATGCTTTAATGATGTGTGTTATGCTCTGCGTAGTTCCACTCTGCCCGAGAATGTGTACACGGATGTCCCTTTGCCATCCTGTGTGTACTTAGTGAATTTGAGTGCATGTTAAGAGCCCTTCCCTCCAAGCACTCCCTGAATCGGAGCTTGACTGTTTGTTAAACATTATTTGCTGCTGCTGTAAAGGTAACAAAGGGCTCCTACCCCAGTGGAAATGAATGAGCCCGGGTTCCTAGTTATCACTGGTTATTGTTCCAATCAGGCCGTGCTTTGAAAGGGGAGGCGCACTCTCCTTTGGACAGCTCATTAAGATAACGCACAAACGTGGCTTGCCTTGCCATCATCCTGGGTTTATTAAACTGGGGCTCATTTCAACTCTATTGTCTCACGTAGGAACCTCTGCCTTTGTCAGCGCAATTGGAGCCAGATGGCAAAACAAAGCTGCGCTGTCTGAAGTGCTTACAGGGGGATCTCGGAAGGCAGAACCATTAGCTTGACTTCAGCCCACTGCCCACTATGTCCACCTGGATCAGCCAGGTGCACGGACAATGACAGGAGACAGGGCCAGACAGGCAGAGGGGTGATTGGGAGTCGCAGTCTAATCAGGAGAATGCAGGGATGTACGGATATCTGTAAATGGTTATCCAATCTGTGAGTTTTCACATGTTACTTGGATAGTTTTTAGCCCATACCATACTCCTGACCACTCCTGAGAACTGTCTATGGTAAAAAAAAAGTAAATTCATGGCCTCCCTTCACTTAGTTGAAAACTGAATTAGCTTTTTAATCAAAAGGTATCAACCTCGGCGTTCACACAAACAAAAAAATATAAAACAGCAAAATGAAAAGACTAGACACAGTTTGAGGTGATCTGGCAGGTGATCTGGCAGGACTGGTAAGAACTATTCTATTAATAAGACTGGACCAATGGGGTCATGGTCCTGGCATGTATCCCAGCAAGTGGACCCAATTATCCAATAAATAAGTTTGCAGCCTTATTAGAGAATTTTGAGAAGTATATTGGGTGAATATTTGCACTTCCAAGCACATCTGCTATTGGCCTTAAAGCTCCAGCTCTGTGTGTAAACTGCATTGTGAATTGCAAGTAGAACTACAGAATATACACATTGAGAAGGGCCACAGTTTAGTAGTCAATAAGGAGAACAATTCAGATGTATGAATTAAGACACATTTGGCCCTTGGCAATAACTGAACATATAATTATTATATAATTATACAATTTTGGGTAAAATTATCTAAATTGGCTATTCATATCAGCCGCAAAAATACTGGCAGAGCTAATTGGGCATCAGCTACACTGGTTTCTGAAAAAAAACAAAAACTATTGCACGTGTCATGAAAAAACAAGAACATTTTGGTCAGTCTCTAAACCTTATGACAAACACTTATTTACAGCAACCCAAATTCTTCTCTCTCAGTTTTAACACAGAAGGAAATACATAATCGATATAGCTCAGTAAGCAAGAGTAGTCAAGTGCAGGGGATAGCAGGAGAAAAATTTTGTAAAACTTGTAACACTTGCTCCAGTTAAATTTATAGACAAGATAGATTTCAGTGTTATGGCTGCAGCTTTGGGGGCAGTGCATAATGTAAAACAGCTTGTTGGCATCACTGAATTAGTGCGTGGCTGCTTCTCTCGCTTTGCCTCAAACGATGGCACGCACAGAGGAGAGTTATCCCGTCGTTTTGTTGTGCTGAATGGCTCCGGAGCCTGGAGGTGGTCTCATTTCTGGTGAGCGCATATGCTCTATCAGTGCTCAGTCACACACATTCCCATAGTGCCACCTGGAATTCTACGAAACAAACTCCAGGCGTTCTTTTAATTTGCATGTCTGAGAACAATTATATGGTGCTATGTATGTAAGCTATCTACAGACACTTCCTTTGCATAGACAGTCTACATGTAACTGAGATATATATATATATATATATATATATATATATATATATATATATATATATATATATATATATATATATATATATATATATATATGAATAAGAGAATAACCATGGTTGTATTTTTCTTTCTTTTTTTCACACATATTCTTATTTACTATTTGAAGATAGACGATAGTGGTGGTAGAATATAGTCTATTCTCTTTCTACTGATAGGGTCATTTTGCATATACATACAGCAACACAAAGACACTGTCACGTGTGCAGCATGCCCATATAAACAAAGTCTTACGCTTAGACCGGCCTAACTGACCTGTCTTTGACTCCTCCTCTTCAAGCTCCTTGGCCTCTTCTGCTGTGGAGAAAACATAAGAATCATTATCAGGCTGACTACCACACATAAGACAATACACACTATTGCCACACTATTGTCATTTCATCGCCTGCCTATGGAGAGATGATCCTTCACAGCTCAGAGGACAAGTTGTAATGAGAGAGACTGTATGACGACCGAACCAGGACAATAATACACACACACTCACACACGCAGACACTCATATAATGACATATCCAGCCAGCCTCCATTCTCACAAAGACAGTAATCACATTAGGCTTTAGCTGGTGGCTTTCTGAAAACCCACTGTCAACAGAGTTCGAGAGGCACTGCACTGATGGCTGTCACACTTACACATGCACACCAAGGCTAAAAATAGCTCAGGGTGAGAATGTCTGAGAAGCCCATATTAATTCTTCATTTCATTTGCCTTTTTTCTGTACAATTGAGTTTGATGTCATCTAGTTAGTAACAAGCAGAGGCTCAGATTGAACTGATAACAGCAGAAAATCTTGTGTCAAAACAGTTCATTTATGTGCAATCCAGTGTTTGCAAGATATTTTTTCTTGACATTGACAGAAAGAAAATAATCCTCTGGGGAAATTAACCAGAAATTCCTATTATTACTGCAGAAGTACGTGCAGAGTTTTCCAGATTCAAACGGGCTAGATGTGCAGAAAGATGTGGTGCATTCAATTCTGTTATGTCACTTATATGTCTGTAAGGAACATGTAACGTAAGAAATACAATACTTTTGTTGTGAGTCTGTGCCAGTCTAAGATTATTTATATCTTATATACAGTATATATATATATATATATATATATATATATATATATATATATATATATATATATATATATATATATATATTTTTTTATTTTTTTTTTTTTTTTTCAATAAATAAAGAATAATAAAAAAAAGATCAGTGTTCTTTACCATATGGGCATTGGACAGGGTAGTATTCTGGGTTAGAAAAAGAACAAAAGATATGTTTGGAATACAGTATAATGATTTTCAAGTTCAATCAAAAGGGCATTTTAAACACAAATAATTTTAAAACTGTCGCTGTTGTATTTATGTTTGTCCTGACTAGTGGAGCCCCGAGCGCTATTTAAGCACCTTACTTTTTTACATTTTGTCTATATGTGTGATATTTCTATGTAATGCCATGTCTGATTTCATTGCAACACAGCTCTATCCATAGGTACAAATAAAGTAACATTAAAACTGAAACCTTGATTTATACCTCAACTACAATACACTGTTTACAGTTTAATTATCAACATCTAAGGCATGTGTATTTTCATTCCTTCAGGGTTAGTATATACTAACCACAAACCATGAAAAGATAAACATTTTCAAATGACCCATTACTGTTAGAGTCATCCACAATCCCATCTGTGCGGTCACATTAAATTCCTTTGGTGGCAAAGTGTAGCTCATTTGAAAGCACCTTTAAGTCAGGGTGAGAAAGAGGGCATGCACTGTACAGTAAGCTAGAACTGCTTTCCTTGTACATTAGAGTGTTACCGTTCTTTTATCCCCACTGGCGGCTTCCCAGTAGTAAAGGGGCGAGGGAGGTGGAGGCGGGTTAAGGGTGAACAGAACATAAAAGACCAAGGAGCAAAGGAACAGTGGGATGTGTTAACCGCAGCTGGGGGAGTGTAAATTGTATCTCATCCTACTGGCACACCAGAGAGGCGTTCAGTTATTATTATGAACATGAAAACATGAACATAATGTTGCTGAGTTATTTTTTTCCTACAAATTACAAATAATAAATATTTTAATAGTAATAAAGCAATCAGATGGGGCAGTAGACCTGTTCAAAAAAAGGGCTTTGATGGTAAGCTATGTGCTACAGTGACAGATTCTGGATCTATGGCTCCTCAAATTATACAGTTCCACCATTGTATTATACATAATTAATTTGGCTCAAATAGTCAAAATGCTGTTAACTACAAGTACCAATATTCAGCTTGAATACAAAAGGGGAATTGTGTTAAACCAACCCATTTCATTGGCAAAACTGCTAAAAGGAAGATGTATAATACCTTGGAGTGAACAATACAGAGCTCCATATATATTAATCTAGTTGTGACTACACATTTTGTCATCATAAACTTTAATTTGAGGCGAGTTGGGCTTTCACTATGAAACCTATCGACTCAGCTAGACAGTGGTAGTATATAATAAGGGGAAACCATGTAGGTTAAATACTAACAGCAAAGTAATAGATCTCCTTTGGGGGATTTCTGCCTCAGATACTGCTTCGCTCATGAATTTTTCCCTCACCCAGGGGAGTGCTGTCCCATGGTCCGCTGGTAGATCTTCAATAGCTAGGCTGATTAAAACAGATTGTGAGAAGGTAAAATGAGCCTTAGATGGGTTAGGATATGCACAGTCACTATTATTATGCACAGTTGTCACAAAGGGAGAGGACATTCCTGGTTTTCCCTTGCACTGCCTCATTTTGAATTAAACTGGCTGTACCCAGCACAGGTATGCTGTAATACATCTAGATATTTTGGTATTAAATTGAGACCAATGCGTGCTGTCTGCATCTAATTATAAAGTGTTTTAGCATCCAAGAATCAAGAAGTCTCTGTTAGCATGCTAGTTAAGGCTCTGAAAAGCACTTTTCACAATTAGGATGCTATAAGAGCGAAGGTGAGGAATAAGTTGGACCATTAGAAACCTTTTAAAATTAACTAGTTCTGTGTTTTTTTTCTTCACAAACAGTAAGACAGTAAAAAAAGTTACAATGCCTTATAGATTTGCATTAAAGCTGCATTACTACACTATATACCCTGTTACAATGCACATCTGGTTGCCCCACATACATTATGACAGGTAAGAAAAATTATTCTTCTCCACTTTTCTTGACTCCTTCACGCCTATCACCCATATGTAGTGAAGGGAGAATCAACTTCAATTTGGCCATACTCAGAAACACTATTAAAAGATAAGACAAGTACAATTAGTTTCCCTTCATTGCTATTTGTCCCTCCTCCCAGTTTGAGGATGCATGTAAGTAGTTCTATTTTAAGCCCATTCACATCTGTATTCAATTTGTATCATTTATATCTTTAAGAGCTTGGTGAATAGGCCTGAGCTCCTCCTTCTTGTATTCAAGCTTGAAAAACAGTAGAGGAAAGATTATGTGCAGAGGGGAGTAGAATACCGGTTAACATTTCAATGCATGGAACGATGGTTGACCATATAATCAATCTACGCTGAGAGCGAGGAATTGCAATGCAGCGCCTTGTTCGGTCTACTAAAAGAAAAGGTCCCTATGAGCCCTTTGCCCGTGGGAGGAGCAGCATTATATTTCTATCTTTCCATTTCATTTGATTTCATATGTTCCATGGAGCTATTTACTCTATCCACTGAGTCTGTGTCACTTCCATATTTATTTTTAAACCTCTGGGCTCTGGTGCAGACACTGGATGACCTTTCTTTAAATGTCTTCCCCACTCTGAGCAGATCTCATTACAACAGAACTGGTGGCTTTGCACTATCTATCTCATTTGAAAACTTTCTCTCTCTTTCTCTCCGATTTTTGCACTTGCGGCTGTCCTTGGTCATTTCGCAGTGCTAATTACTGATGTTGGAGTTATGATGTTTCTCCAACGGAAGGAATATGCATCCCACCATCAGAGATCTGACTGGAAAATCTCTAGGCAGGAATTATCAATGTGTTTTCTCTTGTATGTAAACATTTAATCACTTTTTTCTTACATGGCCTAGATTAAATAGATTAAATGAAATGCACTATAAAGTAGGGGTAGAGAAATCATTTTGTTGAAATGTGAGAGGTCTCCCCCTATTTTTTTATGTACTAAGCCAGAACATATTCATTGCAATAAATAGAATTTAGAATAATTATTCTATGACAGGAGAATTTGTTTACTTGCTTTATTTGTTTCAGCTATTTCATGTGGCCTTCGTCACAAGCCTCATGTGATGGCTAGAGAATTAACCTTTACCAAACTTTGCAATATATTGTTGCTCTGATTCATTTTAGTATACTTTTGAGCCTTGTCTTTACCTCATCTTAATGTCTATCTTACTCATTTCTATTCATAGAATTTAATCAGTTGATCAAGTTGATCAATGACGTTTAACTTAATTTCAATTAATTATAATTGTAATTATGGGCAATAGGGTTCAAAGATTAAAATCTCACTTCTGCAATAATGATGGCAGGACCCAGTGGTGCCTTTTGAACTTGCCTGCTAAAAAATACACAACTCAGTGCTGTAGTCACTTTTGGCTGACCTTCTCTCCTGGCTTCTTCGCAGCTCTCTTTGATCTTACGGCGGCAAACAGCAGCCAGGGCGATGAGCAGCACTAGCAGACACACGGCCAGGCCCACAGTCACCCACAGAGCCACCGGAGGGAACGCCGAGCTCTGACCTGAAGCAAAGGGCAAACACACAGAGCACCATCATTATTCAATTCTGTGACATATGACAGCACCACACCATCAGTGTGCTATGGATCTTCATGAAATTTATCTTAACCCATACTTACATAAAACCTATTGCTTTACACATTTTGGGTGTATATAATGAATAATTTTCAGTTTGCACGTCAAGAGTATTTTTACACTTCAGTTCATTAGCTACAGCTACAGCCTTCATAAAAATGATCCTGTGGTGAAAATGTAGACAAAACTAAAATCAAAGAACAAATGAGCAAGAACACAGAGTTGTTAGTTATGTTGGATTAAGAGACACAAATCTTTCAATTGGGTCCAGATGGCAGATAGTTAACCAGTTGCACCAGGCTACAGTTGTTTCACTCAAACGCAATTGGCAAAACAAGAGGATGTTGGCACTATGACGACCACACTCCTTGCCTTCTGCTATGCACATAGCATTGCTAGACTATAGCTTGATAATATTTACAAAAATTACAAATTTCTTTACTATTAATTAAGGGATTTAAAGCATATCTTAATTTACACATTTTTATTGTACTGATACTACACCTTAAAGACAAAACCTCACATCAAACAAAGTGACAGCATCTTGGCAAGCAGCAATCAGATGAGCTGAAATAAAAACTGCTCAGCAGGACAAAAGATCTCAGAAACAGTGCCAAATTTCCCTGGAGTATTCAAAGAGAACAGAGGGAGGAGAAGGGAAAACAACCATGCTACTAAAAAGCTGTGAGCCTGGCTCTAACACAAACAGGCCTCCTTGTAAGAGCGCACGCTCTGGGCACATAATAATGAAAAGGCTGAAAAATGACTGGCATTTGAAAAAGGAAATGATGAAGCATTTGTAAGGACTTGGCATCGGTCAAAATAAGAATACTGCCTGGGACAGAATGGTGGGTAAAGAAAAAACATGCATCTGCTTTAAAATGGTTAATACTCACATGGCTCACAAGTCCATCTGCTAGAGAGAAACAACAAAGCTCAAAGACAAAGACCAGAAGAAGACAGTAATGAAGCCAGCAGAAATCGACAGGGGAGAACTGCCCAGTTTTTCTGCTAAATACTCAGAATCTATTTATAGAGACACTCAGAGTATTATTATCTTTAGAGGGGCAAAGTCCTGCTGGTGCCGAGAGAAAGGATCAAGTCTGGAAAGTCAATCTTGTCATTTTGATGAAGCTATGTGTGTCTCTCTGGGCGAGTCATGACTGATGATTCTGTTGCTCAGAGTCCACTAAGCCCTTTACTCTGTTATATTTAAAGAATGGCCATGTGAAAGACAAAAGCATACACACTAAAATAAGCATTATATCAGACTACCAAATAGACACATTCTCTTTGGACTGAGTGAAGATGACGTAATATTCTGCCTTTATTGTCTTATTTCTCATCCCCTCACTATCCTCACATTTTCCTCTATGTGCCCCCTGCCTTGCGGCACACTGATAAAGACAAATGCCATAGTTGGCTATCATTGCTGCACTGGGGCCCACAGGCTGCACAGCCATATTTTTCTCTTTCTCTTGTTTGATGATGTGATTTTGTTTTCTTCAGAAATAGATTTGTCTCTAATGGCTCTGTTTACCTATCCCCCTCCCCCCAGCCTCTTGGGCACATGGACGATGGATACTGTGGGATGCAGTGTAGCTCAGGATCAGACTTCAGGACTTCAAACAGCACATTTTAGATAGACATAGGGATAGATGTTCATTTCATAGTCACAATCCCAAATTCATGTCAGATAAGAATGACCACATACACACAGTGTTGTCTATGTATAGAGTGCTAGGACAGTTGATGACAGGCTGTTTCATCAATGTAATTTTAGGCCAACAGAAGTCAGTGCTGCCTGGTACATTTTTTGTATAGGACTAGTGTAGAGTCAAAAAAAGACATGAAATGGGTACAGGGAACAAGTATGATAAATGCTATGTCCATGTAGTACCTGTAATGGTGGGCACATCCCAACTGAGAAATGAGGCACCTTCAGCCTCTGGAAAACACCATAACAAACTCACTCAGGGCTAGCTTAGCTACTGTTTGGCTTTTGTGGCTGTGACTGCCAAGATTTAGAGATTTCTTTCAAGCCCAAATGTTTTCTCTCCAGCACCTTTGAGGAATAAAGTGCTCTGAAGACTTTCTTGCCTGTCATCTTGGATGTGCAATGTGAAGACAGAGAAGATCAAAGCTGCCTTCCCTGCACCTGTCAGGGAGTTTTACCTGCCTGGAAAAAGCCCAGCCTCTTAAGCTGTGACCAAAGGAGAATAATGTCCCCTGACAGGAGGATGACTTCAGGCTAAGGAGAGCCTCAAGGCTCATTCCAGCAAGCTGCAGAGAAGAGGAGGTAGAGAGGAAGAGTCAATTAGGTTTTCCTTTCATTGTCGGGATGAATAACATAGCCTTATCTTGTCTGTGCAAACAAAGAAAAGAGACCTGTGTAGCTGTTAGTTGATCACAGAAGAATGAGCTGGACTAGCAGCTAGCCCAGGGGTTGAGCAGCAGCCAGGCCAAGCCCTGCTAGAGGGCTGTACAGAGAAAGTCAAGCTACTTGTAAACTGCCACAGACAGAGCTCTCTAACCCACTCCCATGGCAGATATAAAGGCATACAGTCAGAGAATATTGTAGACAGGCCTAAAACAGTAAAGTCAGGTATAAAAGTCAGTGAGACATAACAAGAGAGCACACTTAAATCATATTCAGTCAGCACGACTTAGATGATTGATGCACACTGCCTCTGCAGCTCCAACCGGCACACCGGCAATTTAAACTTCTTTAGGTTTCTGTGTGGCACAGCTTATTACTGAGGAGAGGACTGGCAGAAACAATAACAACAGGGCTAATGGAAAGAAGATGGTCTCTGTGTCAGAGGACACGGATTAGCCAGAATGAAAACATGAGCATGAATATTAGAACTGCATTGAACCAATGACTTTGGATTTGTTTCAGTTTCACTTTCAATTACCAGCTTTTATTATCAAGCTAAATATGTCCATCAAATCCTCCACAGTTTCCTCTTGAGCCCCAGTTGGCTGAGCTGTAGTTCACACATATGTAGACTCAAAAATGCCTGTACACGGCTCTGCTATCAGTAGATTCACTTGAACATCTTGTCTCTGAGGTAAATGGTTATAGCTTTTTGTCCTGTCAGCATTTTGCTCTGAGCCTTTGTACATATATTTTTGCCTTCAACTAACTTTTTTTCACACCAAGGTGCTACAACCTGCACCCATTTACTTAGGCAGTTTGTTTGACATTATTGCCCTTCCCTTGATGAGATTGGCTCATGAGAGCAAGATGAGCAGACGTGCACATTAAAACAGAGTAATGGCGTCACATTTACAGAAATAAAGTTTGTAACAGCCCTGTTTTTTCCCAACAGGAGAACTATAAAAGCCATCTGGCTCTGAAGACAATAAGGATGAAGTAAGTGAATGAATGACCTTTACTCACACAAAATTATATGTGAATGACCAAACAATACAAAGGGAAAAAAATTTACTACAGCTTTTGGTGGTTTAGGACTACTAGGCTGTATTTACAACCCGAAGTAGGAATAGAAATTTATACAAACATACGGTCAGAGAAGGAATGCCTGGAATGGGTGAGTAAGTATCAGTCAATACAAAACCTATATCATACTCATAGACATGTCAAGATTGTGGCTGACCTCTCTCATGTTTGCCCTGCTGCTCTATGGACTCACAGTGCATACTTTTAACAGTGAATGCTTTTATTAGACAGACACAGATATCACAGCATGGTATGAACTGATATTATGCTTATTAGAGCAATATGAATAGGTTGGATGTTTTAAGCCTGTTTGTGGCAGAGCACTGTAAGAATGATCGTCATATTTATTTTGGAATACTGGAAACGTTTCTGCTTAAATCATCATGCCCAAACATGGATTTTGGCAGAAAACATATTTTATGGCCCTAAGATGGAATTTGGACTTTTTCCATTTCCAAGACTGAAAATGTGAAAACACAATTCTTATCATTCCTTCTTACACACTCTGGGATGCTTAACACATACAAGTTAAATTGTGATATATTAAAAATATGGCTGTCCCTAGAGAGGTATGTATTTGGAATATAAAATATCTTAACATAGCCATATCAAATGATTTGGCTCATTGTTACTGGTCACCATCATTAAGGCATTTGGAGAGTGAATTCAGCTAAAACACTCCAAGGTCCAAGATGTAATGTCCAAGTAGGACATAATCAACCCTGTATAGAGTTGCTCTGAATGCAGCGAATGCATAAATCCTGTTAAGGCACCCGGACCACAGTGACACAGTGAAACCTCCAGATGCTGATAGCCTGTGAGAGCAGAGAGAAGTGTCCCCAAACTGAGGAACTATAGTAGTCTCAGCAGTCATTTGTAATGGTAAAAAATATTAATAATGGTACATTTGGTACACATAATGTACATTTGAAAGTTGCACAGTTATAATCCAAGTGAGGATCACAGCTGGAATATTTTAACATGTAATACATTATCAGTTTATTCTGAACACAAAGGAAATGGGCAACAATAGCCTCTTGACTGGCCAGCCCACTTGATCACAATGAGATGGGCCTCTGAAGCTGACTGGGCTTCAATTAAAAACTCTTCTGATGTCTGCAAACAGAGACTGTATCATTTCTGTACATCTCTTCTGTACATGCTCACTGACATTAAAATGTGGGAGGCAGAGTGTACTATTGATTTATTTGTATTCTTTTTTGGATGGAGTGGATCCATTTTTCATCACCTTTGCAAATGCAGGCAGAGCCTAATCATAGAAATCAGTTTACTATACTCTGTTGTCTAAGATCTTAATTGGATTTACAACATGAGCTGCCAGTGAGATGTTGAGAATGTAATGTGTAGGACAGAATTACTAGTGACAGCTATCAGTAGCAAAGAGAGTATCTGTCCTGTTGATAATGCCAAGTAAAAGGCCCCGGAGTGGAGCGACAAGGA